TATTTTGACAAATAGCATAGAAAGGTATATGCCTGTTGACATTTAAGAGTATCTTTATATCTGTATTTGGAAGTAGCCATGTTGTGTGATTATGTAAATGTGATTGAGACTGAGAGACTGAGACTGTATTTAAGAGCAGGTAGAAAGACTTCTGTACAACTCTATCGAAGTACGAAAAATCAAAAATGTTTAGTTGTGAATCATCAACAGTTGTGTCTGGTCCGTTAATCGTTTATCCGTGTTCGGTTAGGAATTTGTATTAGTGTCATTATTTCCGGGCATACAATGTCTTCTTTTGGCATCGTTTCACAAAAGCACAGGTTTCCAAAATACTCGTCGATACGCGTTGTAAAACACTTCACAGAATCGGCCTCTAATAATCCTTCAGGTAGTGTATTCCATAGGTTTACGATGCTTCGTTCGACAAAAATCTGATGTCATACTTTGTTCATGCTGGGGACCCTGAGTTTGTAACGGTGTTCTCTGGTGTTACAGGGTTCACGCAGGTGAACTATTGGCCGCAGTATAGGGAAGTGATTTAAGTGTAGTGCTCGATGGGTCATAATAAGGTCAATTCTTACTCCGCGATAGGATAGTGTGTAGAGTCCGAGCTTTTCACAACGTTTTTCATACGGAAGCTTTCGTAGGGTCGGTATCATTCTAGTTGCGATATGCTGTATTTTCTCCAACTTTTCAGTTTCCCATTGGGTTATCGGATGATAAGCTGGGGCACCGTATTCAAGGATTGGGCTAATGAGCGAGGTGAATAGACGAGGGACAGATGTGTTGGGATGGAGCAACTGGCCGTCCAAGGTGTATAATCGAGTGGCTGGGCGTCTGGTGATACTGATGAACTCCGACTTGCTTGCGTTAGGAGGGAGTTGCGTTTCAGTGGACCACGTTGACAGTCGCTCTAAGTCATGCTGGAGGCAAGCGCAGTCGTCCTGGTTCTCAATGATTCTCCAGATTTTCAAATCATCTGCAAACAGGGCACATGGTGACTGGAGCTGCTGCGGAAGATCGTTGCTATGAATAAGAAATAATACTGGCCCAAGTACAGTTCCTTGAGGCACACCACTAGTCGATGGGAACCAGTCTGTCAGGTAGTCATTGACCTGTACTCTAAACTTTTATCCCACAATAAACTAATGTAACCACTGAAGTAACGTGCCACCGATTCCGTATGTTCTCAGTTTACCAAGGAGTACCTCGTGGTTCACCCTGTCGAACGTCTTACTAAAGTTGATGTACACCACGTCAACATCCTTCCGTTCGTTGAGAGCTCGTACCCACTGGTGGTTCGCATACATCAAGATGGTGATGCAGGATCGCCCTTTCGTGAAGCCGTGTTGTGCTGGCGTCAATACGTCCATCGACTCGAAGAACGACAGCAGACACTTTTCACAACCTTCTCGAGCACTTTGGATAATACCGAAGTCAGACAGGTCGGTCTATAGTTCTCTATTTTACTCGGATCACCACCCTTGGGAAGCGGTTTCACTATCGAGCATTTCCAGTCGTTCGGGACAGATCCTTCAGAGAGCGATTTATTGAACACGTTTATCACGGCTGGTGAGATGATAATCGATAGGGACTTGAGTATTAGTGGGTGAAGTCCGCCTGGTCCGGGGGCTTTGCACCATATAGGTTGACGAGTAGCTGGTACACTTCGACTGCATCACACTGTAGGCTGTTGAGCAAGACTGGCGCAACCTGTGCCGGTACTGAAACCGCCGTCGGTTTACTGGAAAATACAGTGAGGAAGTGTGTAGCCAAGGCGTCCGCACGCTCCGCGCTTGAAATGAGTGTCTTCCCGTCTAAGCTCTCTAAGACCGGTAGGTCACCCCATCAAAGGGGGAATCAATGGAACCCTTCGAATCGAATGACCTTCGTGATGTGTGAATGAGCCTCCGGAAAAGGGAACAGGCAGTTAGTTTATTTAGTGGCGAGTCACATCCGCCACGCCTCCAGTAAGTGTCAGCTTCTCCAGATGGACATGAACCGTGTATGCGTGTAGGAAGCAGTCTTTCGTTTCGATCAGCTGTACTTAGCGGCCTTCCGCAAGGTTCTGTCTTGGGTCCGCTGTTGTTAGTAGTCCACGTGAATGCCATGCTGCTGACCTAAAGCTCTGGAAAATTGTTGATATCCCTGGAGGTCCTGTGGCTCTTGTAGGGGCTCTGGATAACTCTGGGAATGGTCTGTCTTGTGGTTGCCGCCCATAAACCGGGCAAAGTGTTCAGTGCTGAGTATCGGAGCTTCTGGTTACTCCACAAGTTATGTGCTCGATGGGAGAAAACTTCCACACGTGGCGCATCTGGTCGATCTAGGTGGCGTGCACTGTACCACAGTAAACTTTGGAGACAACTGCAAGAGGGCGGCTAGTAAATGGTTCCGGAGTTTGTGGTCTATCCGCCGTTTTTCGTTGACTTAACCGCTAATAAGTTTTTCAATCTCTTCTCAACGTTCGTGCAACGCCATCTAGAATATGGACGGTTCTCTGCAAGCCTCGGTGTGTTCAGAGAAAATGTCAAAACACATTGATCACGCTTACCTATGGGTGGCGCCACGCCTAAGTCAATTTAGTGGTCATGTCTGGCGATCACAATATCAAGGGTTGAAGGGGTACTCCCAGTACGACTCCCAGTCGGACCATTGACATATTGCTCGAAAGCATTTACATTCATGCCATCTACTAGTTCCTTCTCTAAAGTACCCATTCTCTTTTCAACATGCTGCCAATCAGCATGCCAAAGGTTTAGGTCACCAACGATCAGAGAATCAGGTGCGGCCATTGCCGCCTCTCTTAGTAACGTACCAAGTTCCCTGTCCACTTCTCGCGTGAAGAATGGGCTACGATAAACACATACTACAACCTCTAATCTACCCCATGCCCTTAGATAGCAGGCTACCACCTGTACGTTAGCAGAACACATGGTAAATTGAGCCTCACTGTCTATAATGGCACTTTATATGCAAGAGTGCGCCTCCACCAGTCTGATACACGGGCCTGTCAGCCCTGTAGCACGCAAAGTCTATAAGCAGATCACCAATATGGTCATCTGGAGGGAGCCAGGACTCCAACACAGCGGCCACATCAACATGCTCACAACGCGGCACTAACTCCCCCATTTGTTACGCACACTACAACAATTGGTGTACCACACGCTTAGTCGCTCTGAACACGGTTGTTTCCCCTCGGACGTAGATCCCGAGTGGATAACCCTTTTTTGTACCATTTCATTTCGGTCAGCTGCCTGAGTCGATGAATCAACGCTGGGCTGCTGTAACGCATTACGGGATAATCCCTTTCCTGGCCTCGCCCGCCTGGGCTTGCTGGATAAACTCCCGACGGGTTTTCTCCCATTTACCTGAGTCGACCTAAAAACACTGCACTTCGGATTTCCTGTACGGTCCAACTTAGGTGTGGCAAGTTTTTCATTTATCCTATCATTTTGTGAAAAGGGCATACCACCCATGGACTTTGGTGCCACTACTATCGAGCATGAGACCTCGATTGTTTTTGAACGCACCGGCTGAAGTCCCATTACCACACCTTCACTATCCTCTTCCGCCATAGAGGTGTGCTTAACGTTTTCATCAAGAGCAAGTTTCTCCACAACCAAATGCAGGCCACGAGTTACCTCACTGGCGTCTTGTGAAGGGGGCTGTCCAGACCAGCTGACAGCTCTTGCCACAGGAGAGCAGTTACTAGAGTTTTGCTTAGGTGTCTGCGTAACGTGAGGCTCACTATCGTGAATTCCAGCGTGTGAGACCGCAGATTCGTTAGCCAAGCTGGTATTAGTACCTTCTAACCGACTCAGCAGAGGGGCATTAGCCTTCGAAGTTTGTGTGTCCGGTGCTATTTGATACCGACAATTTGTCTGACTTGCAACCGACCCAGCCCTGTTAAGTAGAAGGTCCCGGTGTATATAGTTCCTAAACACAACCAGGATAGGCCTTGCAAAAGCTTGTTGGCGGAGCAAACTTGTTTCTCTCCAGCTGCCAACACGATGTAGCCTTTTGGTACCAACATGTAACGGTATTCCGGCTATACGAAGGATACCGTGCACACGCATTCTATCTAGGTCCCGTCGAGTTTTAGTTTCTCGTATGACTGGCTCCTCCCTATTGTAGATAAGAACGTTTCGTTGCATACCCATGGCAAGTTCTGCACTTCGCAATTAACATTCCAATGAAGACCACAGCTCTTCAAATTTGAACGCAATGTCTCAATTGGCAAGCTCTGGTCACGAATCAAATTCTCGGCAATGTCTAGTCCATGCACACAGTTTCTACTAGCAGACTCATGCACAGCTGAGACATGAGTAACCGGATCAAAATTCCGATCGTGTATCAAGCGAGAACCAACGTCTGCTAAGCACACGCAGTGGAAGCAAATCCACTTTAGTTAGGAACGTTGGGCATAAATATCAGTAGGGTCCTGGTCTAACCTAGAGCAATGCTTGGTACCATAACAAGCATTTGTCGCACTGAATTCCCGTTTTGACTTCAACGCCACAAGTGTGCTCACCACATTTATAGCCAACCACCGAGGACTTCAAAAATAACACGTAACAGCCACGTATAGAATAATAAAAAGCTAGGTAGTTTGGTAGGATTAACTGACCAAATTAATGCAGGTATGACGGTTTAAGATGAATAAATAGTCACAACAAGTTAATACAATAGAAAATACAACAATATTAAATAAAACAATAAACATAGCGGATTAACACGACCAGAAGGAACAAAAAGAAGCAATACTGGAAAGAACTCACGCGGTTACCGAAGCTCCAAGGTATCTTGGATCAATATTTGATGAAGCGGAGTAAAAATATCCCACTCAGTCACTGTAGATCATGCTTCCATGCCAAATTTGAAGGTAGCAATTTAAAGGTAGAGCTTTTGCAAAATTTCAAAGCGCGCGCCAAGTTCTGCTAGGTCGCGCTTAACACGACTTTAGCATTTATTCCTTATTTTCTGCTTTATCTGGTCTCTACCGGCGGTAGACAAATTGTCCAATACAAGCAACGGCTGACGTACTCAAAACCACGAACCAAACCTCCATCTTTCGCTTCTCTGTGAGTACTGCGAGCCGATTATGAATATTGCGCTACATGACCTTCGGTGGCAGTCGTCGCCTGGTGTATGGGCTGGATAACTACGTTCTTCTGTTCTTTGTGCTTCCTGTTGTTTTCTTCCTAATCTGCCTTGCCCGGCTGCTATGGTAATTTACTTTTTTTCTGATCTTGCGCAGGACATCGCTCAAACAATCTAGAAGACCTTCCTCTACTCCAACGTTACCTCTAGCAATTACCAGAGAGTCCGAAGCAGGTGAATGCCCGATATGCATGGACAGTTACTCCTTTCCTGTTGCCACCAACTGCGGCCATCTTTTTTGTGGTTAGTTTCAGCTCCAGTAATTTTTGTTTTACATTATAACTCCTTAATTTCTCCATTTTTCCTTGCTTCCACTCCTCTGACCAGTTTATCTGTGACTACACTACCTGTTATGGTAACTGACTATGGGTTTGCTTACTGTAGTTGTCGCAAGCGCCATGCTTCCTTTGCCACGGATGCACGTGTCCTCTTGCAAAATGTTTTCCATTGGTTTGCAGAGGGCAGGAAGGAAATCATTACTCAGCCCCATCACTTCCCGTTTAAGGTAGGGATACCGCGGATCTTTGTGTTGTGACCTGGAGATTCCCCTGCTTGTTTTGTAAATCAATCTAAAATATGAATTCATTTTTTTGTATTATGGTAGTAGGTGGTTTGCATGTTCGAGTGGGGCACGTGTTTATTTGAGACATAACATCCGTACTTTGCCGCGGACTTCGAAAGCGTACGTTGATTGTCCATCGCGTTCAGCTTGCTGCCACATACTCCATAGCCAGATATCTCTCGGTGCCTTATTTTTAGCCTTAGGACTTAGCAACCTTCCAGTAAACATTTTATAGCTTATTTCTGTGTGTTCTGATGCACGCATTTGGTTGGCCGTTCAAATCGAGTTCCTGATATCGTACGACCGTCGCGCTATAATTGTGATACGTCACTCCACAGAGAACTATCACAATCGCAGCGGAAACATCACGATCCTTGCTTACTCAGCAGATAGTAGTCTAATTGTTGTTTAGAACTTTCCTCATTGTGCACTGGCGACGGGCGCAGGTAAATTGTTCCACTTCATCACCACAGGTGGACTTACATCAGGATGGACTCGAAGCCTCGGCTTAAACAGTTTCCAAGGGTGACCTTGTTTCGTACTATCAACTATGACTTGAAAGAACAACTTTAGTCCATTTCTTATCCTCCCCCGCAGAATGCGTCTGGTGTAAAACAGATCGCCACAATGACGTCGATAATCCAAGGAAAACATGTTCATCGTTTAAATTCGGGTGTAAGACAAACTCCGGGTCGCAGAGATCGATTTCGACCTACGCTGTTGGATCCTTTCTTTGAGAACACGCTCAGTCTTTGTATGAAGATAATCCGCTGTTGAACCGTATTCGAGCATAGGGCGCACATGAGAAGTGAACAAAAGTCTGAAGACCACATGAGTCATACTGGAAGATCTTATGGCACAGAACATCCTATAATCGGCCGCTAACTTTCTCAAGCTGTCCTGGGTTGTGTGCGAATCAGGAGACACAAGCACACCCAGGTCCTTCCTACAAGCAGCGTTCATGAGCGATCTACCAAAGTGATAAACACCGAATGGGTACGGAGCACGGATAGGGAGGGCAGAGCACTTATCCTAATTGATGGGCAACTACCACTCCAATGCCCAGCTGTGTAGCCAGTCTAGTGTCGCTTGCAATCGGTCAGTATCTTTGAGTTCGAATATCTCTAGCCATAGGTTCAACTTGTCAGCATCTAACAAACAATCCGTACAGAGCTCTGATAGAAGTTCACCGATGAATAGTTTGCACAACTCAGGAACGCGGACGGAGCCTTGCAGTACTTCACTTGCCATGAAAACGGTCTCGGAGTAAACTTCATTCACCTTCCGTCGAACATTACGGCTGTTTAAAATATCGGTGATCTAAGAGAGAATCTCCCCAGAAACGCCATACCCCGAAGTTTAAAGAGTAGAACTTCGTGCAAATTTTGTCTACTGCTCTCCTGAAGTCGACAAAGACGACCACCATACGATTGCCGGCATCCAACGATTTGGCCCACTTTTTCACTGGTCGCCAGCAGGTGGGAGGCACACGAACGTGTACTTCGGAAGCTATGCTGCGCCTAAGTGATGACGTTCACGTTATCAATGTGGCGATTCAAGGCTTTCTTGTGAATTCTCTCCATGACGCACCTATAGTGCGTCTGGCATTCGTTTGAAACATTTCGCTGTTTGCGCACGGACGACTAGTTCAGGTAAACTGTTTCACACATTCATCACACGAGTTGACAAAGTGACATCAAAGCAAGCCCGAAGCCTCCTTTGTTTACACAACTTCATATCATTGCCTCGTGTCTATCTACACAAAGGTGGAAGAACTATTATATCTCATACCCCATCTCACGTCGGAGAATACTACGCGTGTGAATCAAATCACCACAGAGACGACGATACTCCAAGGAGAACAAATTAATCCTTCAAAGGCGATGAGAGTAAGGCAGGTTCCGGAGTGTCATGATGGATTTCGATCCCCGCCGCTGAAACTTCTCTATCAGTACGCATTCGGCTTTCATGAGAGGATAGGATACTGGCATTCCGTCTTCAATTACTGGTCGAACGTAAGAGCTGAACAGAAGTCGGAATATCTCTGGTGTCATCTGCGAAAAGAATCTCCTTATAGAAAAGAACATCCTATTAGCAGCGGCAACTTTCTTTAAGGTGTCCTGACTCGTGCGTAGGTTTAACGAGACAAGAACTCGAAGGTCTTTCTCCACGGTTGCATTCCTGAGCAGGATGCCCCCAGAGTGATAAACACCTAACGGGTCCGGGGCACCATTTGGGAGGGCAGAACACTTAGCATGGTTAATGGGTAGCCGCCACTCCATTGCCCCGCAGTGCAACCGGTCTAGCAGGCCAGCATCATAAAGCTTGGACACCTTTAGCCACAGTTTCAGATCATCAGCATATCTGAAACAATCAGTTGGGAGCTCATATGGAAGATCATTGATGTAGATTTTGAAGAGCTCAGGAACAAGGACAGCCCTGTGGGCCCCTGCTGATCATAAAACCAGGTTGGAGTAGGTATCATTTACTTCTATGCTTCGGCTACTCAGCAGGTCAACGATCCATGAAAGAATTTTCCCAGAAACACCAATTCCCCGGAGTTTAAGATGGAGACGTCCATGTGGAACTTTGTCAAACGCCCTGCTGAAGTCGAGGTAAACGACATCCAGTCGATTCCGGCATCCAGCGATCTCGCCCATTTTTCTCTGGCAACAAGCACATTAAAGACACAGGAACGTGCCTTCCGAAAACCATGCTGAGCGCATGTGAGGATATGCACGTTTTCCACGTGAAGATTTCTGACTCTTAAGAATTCATTCCATAATTTTACGAATTATCTGTATCAGACAGGTCGGCCGGTAGTTCGCAGAATCCTGAGGATCTCCCTTGTATATGGGCCTCACAGCACCCAGTTTCCAAGTGCTCGGAAGTTGTCCGGTATCTAGGGTGCGCAGAAAAACTTGGCCAAATAATGTGTCAGTAGTAAGCCGTAACGGCGCTTCGCTGCCGCGCGACCACCACCAGTCACGCGCGGGCTGAGTATACTGCGAGGATGCCCACCCCTACGCGGATTCGAACCGGTGACCTTATGGTTGCAAACCAAACGCGCAGACCAGTCGGCCACCGGCCGACAGAAAAACTTGGCCAACTGGAGAAGCAATGTGCTGAGCCACCGTCTTGTGGAATAAAGGGTGCAAGTCATCCAGATCCCGTGAAGAGTTCGGATTTAATTCAAGAAGTAGTCGCATAACCAAGTCGTCACTGCTCAATATGGTCTAGTGGAGAGCGGTGGAGTGACAAAGTCACGGGATAATGGAGCTTCGATGAAAAAAGCGGAGAAATACTGCAAAACCAGGAGATCAGCTTTGGCATCATCCTCATACCTTATCATCATCATTGTTAGGATACAGCGCAGGTATCCCACACAGCTTTTGCACTTTTTCCGATACGAGAACAGTAGTTTGGGAGTGGTCTTGGACTTTTCCACCAAACGAAATTTGTACTGTTGTCGTTTCCTTTGCGTGCAGAGGTTCCCAACCACCTTTTAGCTCAAGTAGTCTGAAGCCGATGTTGTAGACTTAAATCTTTCCCATACTCTGCGTTGTTTGTTCGTTAGGATCCTTAATTCATGCTTGATCCAAGAAGGGCTCTTGGAAAACTTCTTCCTTTTATAGAGAGCCACTGACCACTGAATGACCTCATTTTTGCGTATAAGGTGCCCCAGACGTCGGGAACGCTCCATTCTAGAATACTTTATAGCGGAATTGATAGATGGACGCTATATGCGCGATTCCAACCAACGGAGAGTGAAAAGACAAGTAAAAATAGGGCGTGGTATACGTTTATTGCTGAAACGTACAGCTTCGCTAAGCTAAAATGGCACCCAACGAAGCTAGCTATGAGGATGAAAAAAGAGACGTTCCGGTAGCGCAGAAGGTTAATTCCGGCGGCCGAATTCCGGAAGTGTTTAGACATAAACAAAGGTGGTCAACAAGCGACATCCACACTGCTTAATTTCCCCGTGTGTAGATGGGACTATATTTTGGTACTCTTTTACACATCATACCGGGAGATCTCCAGGTCGCTACACAGCCTCTCCTCCTAGAAGGGAACTGTGGGTAACCCTTCGATCTATGTGAGGACTCTCCGTCGCCAGCCAGCCTTCTGCGGACCAGGTGGTGAGACTTGATGCATCTGCTGGGGGAACACTAGTGCCATCGGACCCTAGCGGGCTCTCACGCGTGTCCTCCCTATGGATGCCAAAAAATTAAATAGCGAGAGAACGTAGGGTACGATCACTGCATTTGGCCACCTGATGTCCGACGGTGTTCAAGAGTTTTGGATTGGGGATGTAAAAAATAAGTACAAGAGGGACGTCAGGCACGCGCGAATGACTAGAGCAAACGAAAAGCGACAACACTTACCATATGCGATAAGGGAACAAAACACGAACACTTCTTGCGTTTTCAAAAATTTTTGTTCTTTTTGTGTTTTCAACACATGTGTTATTATTTTTTGCGTTTCGGTCTGGCGAAAAAAATAAAAGTGCAGAAAAAGTACGTCGGCTAGTGAACTCGTCCACCGGACCTAGTCGACTTTTGCGTTTCGGCTGTGGACGTGGTCGTGTTGACTGTGTCGTTTCGCGTGGTCTGCCGAGCGGCAGCTGGTGTGCCGTCCGGTTCGGCTAGAAGCGGCTGGACTGCTGACTTTTAGTCGTCTT